TTTCGATTTCCAGTACTGTGTAGAAGTAGGGTGTTGAGAAAGTTGTTTCAAGCAAATGAGGCCATCAAAACCCACGAATCCTTCATTGACAAGCGCCTTTTGAGTCTGGTCGAAGCTCTCGAAAATTGAGTCTAGGGCAATGACTCCCTGACACAAAATTCGGATCGTATCAAGCCCACAATCCTCATCAAGAAAAGCCTGAACATGCTGCGTGCCTGAAAATCCGATAGACAACCCCAATCTTGCTTCGCCGCAGAAGCCACCAAAAGCGGGAAGAAGCAAGCCTCTAAACCACTAGTCACTGCAAGCCTGACATCATGTGTATGCCAATTAGTGCAAGGCTTCTCTAAGGTCTAAGGTGTCGGGTATTCGGATGCTGGTTTAGGAAGTCAGATTCTACGCCGCTAACTACTACGACCTCATACAGCTTCAGAAGGACTTCCCTAGGAATTGACTATCCTGGTTCTGGTTCTTAAGAAAATCGGATTAATAATTTACTGATCAAGGATTGGGGGGGACGTAGAGTATCCTAGTGTTTAGGGTTTGCAGTGTTTAGCCTTAAAACGTAAAGCCCCGCCCGCAATGGAGCTAGGCGCACCTATGGAGCACCGAGCTCGACCAAGGACACGGGTAGAGGCATGGCCTTGCGAGAAGTCGGAACATTAACAACCGCGATTATATTGGTTTGCCTTAATTGTTGAAATAGGGAGGGGGGGGTACATATTAGTCCAGGGAAGCGGGGGAGGATAACAAGGTCTGCAAGATAACAGAGACTGACCCTCACATGTTATGTAGCATTAACGTCGTAGCTTCTCAATCACAGGGAGCGCCTTCAAAAGAGTAGTGTTGCTGCTTCTCGGATCCCAAAGAACGGTTCATGTGGGGGACAAACTGCAGTGTCCCTTCGGTTCATCTGATGACTTCTTACTCCCATGACGTACTTGAAGGCTCATGGGACTTAGTAAGTAAGGTTATAAGTAGGTTATAACTAGGATAACCCCACTTAGGGGACTTATAACCCCAGTTGTCACCTACTTACTAAGTCCCATGATCCTCTAAGCATGACGTAGACGAGCGTGTGCTGTTGCGGGGTCTATCGTCTGAGTGCTCAGGCTAGAGTCTCTTGGGCCTACTTGTCGGGTACCCAGAGGCCCCAAAGTAGTTCCTTTTTGGGATTACCTAATAAGATTCTATATACGAACCCCAAAAAGGAACTACTTTGGGGCCTTTGGGTATCATGGGGAACTCAAGGTTAACCTTTGTGGTTATATGGGGATGATATAGGGACTATACTACCCTAAAAGGTTTAAAGGTTACCTACTCGGCTACTAGGTGGGGCTGTCCAAGATTTGGGGTTTAGGGATCAGGGTTTGGGTTCAAAAGTTTCGTGCAGCTGGCATGGGGACCTCTTCTGATGGGGAGCCCCCGCTTTCGTCACACAGGGCCCTAGCTAGAACCTGAACTGTGGTGATTTTGGGCTACTGCAATACGCTACCATGAACTCATGAACTACAATTCCACTAATCCCTGCAATCGCTGAGACCTTTACGATGAATGGTAGACAAGGACTGAGACCCCACTGGAGAACTTGCCACTTCTGGCGACATGTACCACACGAAGACCTAGGATCTTTGCATGTGGTGTTAATTGTCATGGTTCGTGCTTTTTGTTGCAAGGGTTTGTGGGCTTCAACACCACGGTTGATTTTGGTATCCTTTTATTGAAGGTCCTGCTGCCTCGGGTCCATTATCTGCGTACAGCTGTTTTTGCAGCTCCAAAAATAGACAATACTTCCCTGCTTGTAGTTATCTTTTATTCAATCGGATGCTGCCACGGTGTCGGATCTCGTATCAGCACACCCTAGACGACGGTCGGCTGTTCCAACCGTGTCAGCAACTATTGCGAAACTGCCAGCACGAAACTTTGGCCGGCTTCTCTGACATTGGCAAGCTTTCTTGGGCAATGCTCTTGCTTGATTTCCGAACGACCTGTGTTCCTTTGAGATCTGCCTCTGAAAGCTGTCGCTGCCTCAAGCGATTCCGGAGCTCGTTGCGCAAAGAATAGTATTTCGCTACTTGGCCGTACGCCAGGGTACTAAGACCAATCGAACCGTCTGTGATGAAAAAACAAGATCGGTGCATGATGCACGGGTCTAGAGCTCCAGGCTTGTGTCTTTGCTGTGGGTTGCGGCCGTCATCATGAAGGCCGCAAGTCTGCACGGAACTCAACTTGGAAGGTTGTGGCTGCTGGCATCACTAACTACTAACACTACTGCTACTGCTGCTCCTGCTACTGCTACGCCTATTCCTACTCCAACTCCTATTACGACTACGGCATACTACAGCTGCGACGACGACAACTACGACGACTACGACGGCTACGACTACGACGACTACTATGTCGACGACGACGACTACTACTACTACGACTACTGCTACTGCTACTGCTACTACTACTACTACTACTACTACTACTACTGCTACTACTACTACTACTACTACTACTACTACTACTACTACTACTACTACTACTACTCCAGCTGCTACTACTACTACTACTGCTACTACTACTACGACTACGACTACTGCTACTACTACTACTACTACTACTACTACTACTACTACTACTACTACTACCACTACTACAACACCACAAACCTACGAATACACTGCATGTGAACGGTGAACTACCTGGAACCCATGCAAATGCAGGGCGTCATGTTCTGGATAGTTTAAGGCTTTTGTTATCAAGATAAGGTGTCAGGTCTGGCATCGACCATGCAGCCTCGGCGAACCCACCTACTTGTGCCAGAACCGAGGCTCGTTGCCATAGAGCTAGTGACGTTTAGGTTATAATAGGGTTCTAGCTGCGAGTGCTCGGGGTCGACATTCTTTAAATAAATCTTCATATAGGTGCATACCAACTTGAGTCCTTTCCGCAGAATCCTAAGCCCTGCGCTGTCACAGTGGCGGAACACCAGAAGTGGAAACGGCCTTGGCGTCCCTTCAGCGCCAGTGGAGTTTGCCAGCTTACGCTTCGAACATACTTTGGAGCTCTATGGGGGCCTTGGTAAATACGTTCCAGTTGCTTACTGGGGTATCTGTTGAACCCTAAGCTAACCTCAACCCCTGCACCCCAGACGCATTAAGACTCTAAGCCCAGAAACCATCATAGAGGGCTTCAAAAGTTTCGACAAAATGAGATGGGCGAGGTCTAAAGATTTCTTCATAATCAAAACCATGCAGCTCTCAGATTTGACTTGCTCTCGAAGAGCCCTGAACATTTGGAAACTGAATTTAGGGTTCAGGGTTTAGGTAGCTTTGACGCGTTTGTGGCACAGATCCACCAACCCTGAACGAACTCCGCAAAACTCTGTGGCTCCCTATAGAGCAACTTACCATAATATAGAAGCCTTAACAACTAGAGTAAGATTTTGGGGCCCACTGTACTATAGTTATACTAAGGAACCCCCCACAATAGTAAAGGTAATTATTTCAGCCCCTATATTACCCTAAGGGGGACACCAAGTGTGTTCCATTCGCAGGGCTTCTGGTGGACGAAATCACAGGCGGCCTCATGAGGCTGGGGAGTCAGCTCTTGAATCTCAGTCGTTGTTCAATTCGATTTTAGGGCCGAGGGCCTTGAGTGCTTGTTCGCTCCGCCAAGCTGTCCAGAAAGTTTAGCCGCAGACTCACAGACCTATTCAATACTCTAGGCCCGGGCTAAGCACCAAAACTATTAACTGCACGAGCGGCTCTCTTGGTCCTATACAGACTTAGAAGCTGTCAAGCTCCTGTCATCTGCCGGGGGCCCTGGAAACAGTCAAACCCTCGCAACAAAACGTAACCACTCCGCCTTAGTGGTAAATTCAAGGGGGGGCACTGTTTCTAGCGATGTCGCTGCAGATTCTCTGTTCCCCAAAGGGTCCAAGTATCATTATGGTAGATACTTACAGGGTATTTTGGTGGTCTAAGTATATACCATGATGATACTTGGACCCTTTGGGTTCGATGGCACTAGCAATCGATGAGCTCCCCAGCCACGGATTGAGAGATCCCCCTGTGGTGCAGAGACTTTCGCCGGGAGGCTTCGTCCTTCTGCGCACTTAGAAAACACGAGGATGCTCGTGAGGCTTTATCAACTTAAGGTAAAAGCCAGAAAGTTGGAATATGATTATCCTAACCCTTCTATGGTATATTATAGTGTATCCTACCATGAAACCATATTCCAACTTTCTGGAGTTCCCTGTATGAAGGTAACTAGTTGGGGCTTCGGGTTCGGGGCCCACCATTGCCTCGACCCGTAGCAAACCACACAAAGCTAAACAACTCCCGATGATATACACCGCTCGTGACTACCCAAAGGCCCCAAAGTAGTTCCTTTTGGGGGTTCGTATATAGAATCGTATTAGGTAATCCCAAAAAGAAACTATACTTCGGGGCCTCTGGGTAGCCCAAGAAGATAAGAATAGCAGGAGCTTTCTAAAGAAGGGGCCGAAATGAAACTGAATGCAGAGCCCCTCCATGAAACTGTACTTTAGGGACCCTGGGATTATGGATCCTAACATCACCCACTTCGGCAAGAGCCATAAGCCTTTGGGTTGCCGCAATACTAAACCGAATTTCATAAGTGCCAGGGCATCACAGAATTCGGCACGCGTCCAAGCACTTGCGGGCTTAGGGTTTACGGTCAACAACTGCAGGTTCAGGATATTAAGTTCAGCTTGTTTCTGGCTAGAGCGCAGTGACGAAACCGATGGTGCAACGTTTCTGCTCTACTACTGTGGGTACCATCACCGGGCTGCAACTTAATGCAGCCTGCTCCGTCCCAACTTGAAACGCGCCCTCGTTCTAAAAGCTGCCTTCAGCTTTGTCTTCCGAGGACTGAGAAAAAACGCTAGCTAGAAACACTGCACGGTGCTTTGACAATTTCAAACCTTTCGCTTCTGGTGCCTGCATGCTTGCCGACGGCTGCACAGAAAGGCCCTTTTTAACTACCTCTCACTGAACGGAGAGGTTGCCTGCACGATCCATCGGCGTGCCATCCACGAGGTAGCCCACATCCGCGGCGTAGGTCGACGCAGGGAGGGCCGACCCGGGGGTGTGCATATCTGGCTGGATCGTCTCCTCACAGTAAGCAGGATCGCAGGGCTTATAGGGTTCAGGGTTTCGGGTTAAGGTTTGAAAGCACTGGGTGCTTGGGCTTCGCAGGGTTGCTGAGTGTTTTGGTGGTTTTGGGAGTTCCGAGGGTTGAACCTCAAGGCTACATGGGCTGAGAAGGTGGTGCTACCGTTCTCATGTGGCAAAACAGCTGAACTTCCGGGCTCCAGCTACCTAGATAGTAGGTTACTGGGGTATATAATACATGCTTAGTAACTTACTATTTAATTAGGTAACTGAAGAAAGCCAATAATTAGGGATAAACAACACAGAACATAGAGACCCGATGTCGGGCTCGGAACGCATGTTGAGACTATGGCAATGCCAGGACGTTTGTGAAATGACGCAGGCAGCGTTCATAAGCAGTCTTCTGGAATCTTTCGCAAATCAAAGGATGCTCATCTAAGGGCTGAGGGCTTAAGCGGCACCACCAAAACCTTCTTGAGCTACTGCTCTGCTTCACGAAACAACTGCTTGCAAGGATGATATCTCTAACATCTTACATTATGGTATATTCTACAGTAATATATACTGCTTCATATTACATTATGACATTATGTTACATTATACCGTATGGTATCTGACGATATAGTCCATGATATAGACCCTGGAGTCGACACCGCCATAGTCTTAACCGTCTCCTAAGCCCTGCGACCCTACCCCCAAAACTGCTACAGCCCATGTAGACCCTCGCCCCCCGCCACCCCCTACAAACTCTAAACCCTAAAGCCACAACCGTGAAGGGGACTTCCATCTTAATCTTCCGGGACTGAATTCTCGCTAAGTCTCGGGATGGTTCACCGCGTTGCCGGCCTCGCAGAGAGTAGAGGGTTTAGGGGTTAGGGGTTTAGGGTTTAGGATCATCGCATAGCGTCGTCAATGCAGGGGCCGATGAGTTGACGAGCTTCCATGCCGTCAGAAATTCGAAATAGAACTCTAAGACGTGCCAGTGCTAAGTATTCCGGGCCCTGCATCACTTAGGCGAGGGTGTTTGGACATGAGAGACCAGGTTTTGGGATTCCTGGGCCGTGGTCCAAGGTCTTACAGTCCTAAACACTAGATCGTCAACCCCTACACTGCTTACTATACTGAACTTAGCACCCTAGCAAACATTATAATTTGAGCTGTTTCTTAGGGATTATAATAACCGAAAATTAAAAATAATTTCTAAGTACCCCGAAGTTTAGGGTTTAGGGTTTAGGGGCCCTACACCTGAAAGAGGGGGATCAGGTTGAGGATCTTACGTGTTGGATGGGCTTGAACTTTAGTTTTCGCTTTGGCCGTTTGGCTTTAAGTCTGGGGGCATAGATTTCGGTCCTGCTGAGAGTCTGTTTCGAATCATCTTCATGATTCCACTGAGCCCTGGGACAGGTGTATGTTTATGGTTCAGAGTTCACAGTCTGCGTTCAAGTGGTTTCAGAAGTCGTGTCTAGGTTTTACACAGTTTTTGCTGACGTCCACAACTCGTAGACTCATCCTCCGGTTCAGGATCCAATTACAATACCGGGGCTTGGGATTATAGACTTGGGGGCACGACTTCAAGGGTTTTAGTGGGTTTGGGCTAGTCCGCAGTATAGATATCAACCGATCTTCCGGCTCAAGCGCGTCCAGCTCGCGCCCGTAGACCCGGAACCCTGAACACCAAATCAGCATGCAGGTAGTTCAAAGTATCCTAACCCAAAGGGGTCCAAGTATCATTATGGTAGATACTTACAGGGTATTTGGGTGGTCTAAGTATATACCATGATGATACTTGGACCCTTTGGGTAAAGAACATATTATGTAGGAACCTGATTAAGAAACCTTGGGCCTTTGTCTGGGTTCCTTACATGAATCCTACAATTTTGGGGTGGTAGGCCCCAGGTTTCATAAAAAAAGCCTAGATTTCTAGCAATGGCATTCCCATAACCCCTATTGACCATTAAAAGCCAGAAAGTTGGAATTTGATTATCCTAAACCCTTTATGGTAAATTATAAGGTATCCTACCCTGAAACCATATTCCAACTTTCTGGAGTTCCCTTTAAGGCCCGCATATTGAACTTGAACCCCTCAGCCGGTCCTTGTTCAGAGGGGTTCCGTCCGGCAGGTAGCCCACGTCGTTCACGAAGTTCGCTCGGGGCAGAGGGGAACCAGGCGCATGACCTGCGAGTTTTAGAGCCTTTGAAAAATATTAGTAGATAAGATCCTCTTAAGCCCAATAAGGGAAAATATAAAATGTCCCAAAGCCCTACCTAGGAGTGCAAGGGCTTTAACCAGAGGCCTTTGTGGCTGAGACTTCGCAGGTCGACAGCTGTCGTTTGAAACCTTTGCAAGAAGCCTTTCTACAACTACCCGGGAAGTTTGCGATGCACACCAAAACCATCGCAGCACCCAGCCTTGCTGCTGTTTTGTTCTTCGCTGCATCTAAAACAAGGGGCAGTAGGGTCCCCCCAAGAAGTCCCCCAAAAGCACTAAACCATAAACACTCTGGAGCCCTGACAAGCCCCCGGGCCACTAGCAGTGCTGAGGATTCTGTGAAGTTTTCGTCGGTACCAGCACCCGAAACAGGGGATCTTCTGACTTTGTGGAACCTCTGGTGTGGTATCCCGGAAAGGGACCCTCATCAGAAAAGTACAAGTATACCCCAGAACCCTTGTAAACAAAAACTCAGCGAACCTTTGAACCTAACCCTCCAGATGTAAGGACGAATAAACCTCTCAAGCCACAAACCTGCAACCCGATGTCGATCCGAGGTGCGATCCGGCTGGATATTCTCGGGATGGTTAATGGCATTGCCTGCAGGCTTGATTTGGATGAGCCACATGTTGAGGGTCTCGGGGGCTAGGAGATCGTAGATGGGGTGTAGGCCAAAGCCCTCAATCCTGACATGCCAGCATGCGACCTCACTGACTCAACCAAACAGCCGAACAATTTTTAGTCGCAATTTATCCCTACAAACTCTACACCTCAAACCCAAACCTGCCTAACCCCTACTTGAAGGCTCATGGGACTTAGCAAGTAAGGTTATAAGTAGGTTATAATTAGGGTAACTCCAGTTAGGGGACTTATAACCCCAATTATAACCTACTTACTAAGTCCCATGATCCTCTAACTAAACTCTGAACCCTGGACTTTCAACCCGGATCCCCCAACTCTACACCGTTCATTTCCGTGAGCCGCCTGCACGATTGATTGCCGTGCCGTCCGGAAGGTAGCCCACATCGTTGCCTCAGCAACTTACGAGTTGCGTCGTATGGGGGAGATCCCCTGGTGATTGATGTTCAAAGGTTTTATGTTTCCTCCATTTTTCCCCAAACCCTCAGCCCTTCTATGCATCAAAGGACAGCCAGAGCCCACGCGATGGAGCAAGCCTGAACCAGGCCTAGAGACTAGGGATTCTATGTTTTCACGTTTCGCTTTCAATGGGATCCCGATGAAAGATCCTAAGCATTCGCTCTTATCTACGTGGGCCCTAGAAAGCACAATCACAAGCGGGAACACTATCGCCAAGATCCCCACAAATATTCACTGTTATCTTTTTGTAAAGGGCCCTTTCCGGATCTGTGGAGTTGCGAAGTCGGAAGAACCAATCCTGGTTCGCCACTTCGTGAACCAGAGAAAACTCGCAAGGCGATGGTTCGCTGGATTTTACCCTACTTCAAGGCTCATGGGACTTAGTAAGTAAGGGCTTAGGGTTCCCTTTAAGGGTACTATAGGGTTCTATAATAAGGGTTTAGGGTTTAGGGTCTACTTCAAGGCTCATGGGACTTAGTAAGTAAGGTTGTAAGTAGGTTATAACTAGCATATACCCCCTTAGGGGACTTATAACCCCAATTATAACCTACCTACTAAGTCCCATGATCCTCTAAGTAAGGGTCCATGTACCCATCTGGTACATATCTTAGCCCTGAAGTACCTGGACAGGGACCACTAGTACTTTAAGGCCAAGGTATCTCCTATAATATATGCGTACATGGACCCTTAGGTTTACAACCTTATAAGCCCTAAACCCCAAAAAGACAAGATTATAAACCCTAAACCCCAACAAGAAAAGATCGTCTGTGTGCCAGGTGGGGTCCCTTGCTGGACGCAATCGTGCTATGAGGACCTTCAAGCAGAGATCCTATGCTAGAATGCCCGTTTGAACAAGCCCCTGCGAAACCCCAAAAAATCGCCGAGCCATTTAGGTCATAAAACCTACGCGCTCATCTCTAGCCGGACTCACCAGAGAACGACTCTGAAACCCTATGTCAAGCATGTAACAGTCAGGAACCCGTAAAGAATCTCTTTGAACAATGCCTTGCAAACGCAACTGCATCCATGCGCATATATAGAATTGTCACAATCATCACTGCTGAGCAAATAGAGGTCAAAACGAAGCTGACCTATGCCACAGGGCCACAACTTCGCGCAGCGGCACGGAACCACGGTGTTTAAGGCTAAGTGGCAGTTGTGCTTAAGATGGTGTAGCGTAAAAATGTCTATGTGGTTTAGGAGTTAGGACTTCATCTGGTAGCGAAGTGGCTCATCGTTCCGCTGCTGTGTAAGATAAAGCAACTCCTGGCTCAAAACCTGCTAGACACCATTGCGGAGGGTTGGACTGCAAGTCATGGCATTCCCTGATCAACCACATCTTTTGGCATGCCTTTCCCTCCCCCAACAACCAGGTCTAGGGTTTAAGGCAACCATATTTTTTGGGATTCCTATACCTCCCCCAACAACCAGGTTTAGGGTTTATAGGGCTTTAGGGTACCGTCTGCAGGTGGAAACCGAGACCAAGGGGCTGAACTCCAAGTCTGCAAAGGCATCCCGCTGGAAGGTGTAGGCGAAGCCGACGCTGTGCCTGCAAGAAGGCTCAGGATCGATTTGCACAAGGTTTCTATAATAGAAGGTGTTTAAGCCTGTTGTTTAGTTCGGGCTGTAAAGGGTTTCTGTCGGCTTTTATATGGGTTTAAGGGCTCACGGGTACATATTCGTTGGTTTACAGCTAGCTACGGCGAACAGCTACCCAAGATCCTTCAATCCAATGAAATCCAAGCTTGCGGCCAATTGGCTTTAGAGTTTTAGGGGTTTGGGTTCCGAAGAAATGACGACAGAAACCTGCCACCCATGGCAGGTTAAACCGCGACGGCTCAATCCTCAAAAGTCCATGCAGTGGAGGAGGGAAGTCCCCAACCAGAGGCCAATCCTTGATCATCCCAGTTACGTAGGCCAAACCTTGATCATCCCAGTTAAGTATAATAGTGGTTGACTGATACTTTTTTACAATACACACACATTCTTATAATAGCCCTTATACACCTATTCTAACTATTGAATACACCTGTTCTAACTATTAAGGCCCTGTACTAGCATCGCCTCACATTTTTGGGCGGGGCTGCGGACGAGCCCACGAATGCCGCTGCTGCCACAGGGGCGCCTGGGTCGGTTTAGGGTTTAGGGCCTCGGTTTTGTTTTAGGGCTTTTGGCTTAGGGTTTAGCGGCTTCAGGGTTTCGGGAAAAGGCTGCTTCAGACTGCACTTGGGAGACTCTGCTATGGCATCATAGTTACAATCTGCCGTGTAACAATAGGCTACAAAAATTGCAGTTCAGGTTCTGATATGGTAATGGTTTGGGCTAATCGGGGTTGACTTAACTGCATGCTCCAAAACAGCAGAAACACTGGCAAGCCTCCCTGTACTAGTGTGAGCCTTCCGAAATGCAGGAAGGAAAGCTCCTACGCACCAAATAAGTACAGTTACATTCAACTATCAAGGAACCTTCAATGATATCGGAAATTGTTCGGGCTTCTATATTACATGCCCAGGCACTGGGAGTGGCCCCCGGAGCTGCCGGAGCATTCTTCACCTAGGATGCTTGGGACTTGTCCTTGTCTGATGGTGTCAGGATCTGGGGTGGAGGGCACAGGAGCTTCGACGGCAAAGCCTGAACCCTAAACGCTAATCCCGGCTCCGTGTTGAAAGTTTCCAGCGGCCTCCTGGTCTGGATCGAAGAAGGCTGGACGTTTGCGGAAATGAATGACTCTAGTGTGCTTCCCCTTGTCCTTGATATGCCATGTACAACGGCCTGGTATGCCAGTAAAACACAGTCTTACCAAGTCCACAGCCTCTTTTAACTACCTAATGAGGCTAGTTTCTGCAAGGACCGAGGCCGCATATCAATATCGCCCCGGATGCGCTTTCAATCAATTGCACCTCAAATCCCAAATGTGGGAGTTTCCGAAAATAGCGGACCCTACTATAGTAAGCTAAATAATAGGATCCTTACTATAAGGACCCCGAAATAAGGCACCCCAAATTTTCGGAACCCCCCCGTTTCGAACCACAACCTCGCAACCCGAAGAGATGTGAATGAACATCGCCCAACCCCTGAGCATGGCACTACTACAGGTGCCTTAATAACTAGAATAGGGTCCCTTTAAAGGGGGTCTATAATGGCTACTATAAGGGTACTTTAAGTAGGGGCCTTAGTAATTAGAATAGCTAGGCTTTTGGGACCCATTATACTACAACTACAAGAAGTTAGCCCCGCCAAAAAAAAAGGTGGTATTTATAAAGGCCCCTATATTAACCATGAATTCCCCGCTGAGCCAGCGGCGGAATTGTTGCCAGCAGTATCCAATGGGGTACCATCAACCAAGTAGCCTGAACAAACAAGCTTGAGCACGTGTAAAAAGACTGAAGCTGAGTTGGCCATGCAAAAATCAATTTCTGTCTACCAAGTGGCCCACATCGGCAGCATACACTGAGGCAGGCAGAGGCGATCCCGGTGCATGCATGTCCGGTCCGATGCTCTCGGGATGGTTGATAGCGTTGCCAGCACGGTTCAGAGGCGTGCCGTCTGGGAGGTAGCCGACGGAGTTCACGAAGATGGCGCGGGGCAGTGGAGATCCGGGAGCATGGCTGTCCGGTGCAATGTTCTCGGGATGGTTGATGGCGTTCCCAGCTCGGTTCAGCGGAGTGCCGTCTGGCAAGTAGCCAACATCGTTGCAGAACTCCTGGTCGGCATACGCGTCCTTCTGGAAGCTGTACTCGAACTTGCGGCCGTGCATTGCGGTTCCTTGGCTGGCAGGGGCTGCTGCCGGAGGAGGTGCCGTGGCAGCCATGGGAGGTGCAGCAGGTGCGCTAGAGCCCACGAATGCAGCTGCAGCTGCAGGTGGTGGGGTGGCAGGCGCGCCCTTGACGGAGTTGTTGCCGGCAGTGTCCAAGGGAGTTCCGTCGACCAAGTAGCCAACATCGGCAGCGTACACCGAGGCCGGCAAAGGTGAACCGGGAGCATGCATGTCCGGTCCGATGCTCTCGGGATGGTTGATAGCGTTGCCAGCACGGTTCAGAGGTGTGCCGTCTGGGAGGTAGCCGACGGAGTTCACGAAGATGGCGCGGGGCAGTGGAGATCCGGGAGCATGGCTGTCCGGTGCAATGTTCTCGGGATGGTTGATGGCGTTCCCAGCTCGGTTCAGCGGAGTGCCGTCTGGCAAGTAGCCAACATCGTTGCAGAACTCCTGGTCGGCATACGCGTCCTTCTGGAAGCTGTACTCGAACTTGCGGCCGTGCATGGCGGTTCCTTGGCTGGCAGGGGCTGCTGCCGGAGGGGGTGCCGTGGCAGCCATGGGAGGTGCAGCAGGTGCGCTGGAGCCCACGAATGCAGCTGCAGCTGCAGGTGGTGGGGTGGCTGGCGCGCCCTTGACGGAGTTGTTGCCGGCAGTGTCCAAGGGAGTTCCGTCGACCAAGTAGCCAACATCGGCAGCGTACACCGAGGCCGGCAAGGGTGAACCGGGAGCATGCATGTCCGGTCCGATGCTCTCGGGATGGTTGATAGCGTTGCCAGCACGGTTCAGAGGCGTGCCGTCTGGGAGGTAGCCGACGGAGTTCACGAAGATGGCGCGGGGCAGAGGAGATCCGGGAGCATGGCTGTCCGGTCCAATGTTCTCCGGATGGTTGATGGCATTCCCAGCTCGGTTCAGCGGAGTGCCGTCTGGCAAGTAGCCCACATCGTTGCAGAACTCCTGGTCGGCGTACGCGTCCTTCTGGAAGCTGTACTCGAACTTGCGGCCGTGCATGGCGGTTCCTTGGCTGGCAGGGGCTGCTGCCGGAGGGGTTGCCGATGCAGCCATGGGAGGTGCAGCAGGTGCGCTGGAGCCCACGAATGCAGCTGCAGCTGCAGGTGGTGGGGTGGCAGGCGCGCCCTTGACGGAGTTGTTGCCGGCAGTGTCCAGGGGAGTTCCATCGACCAAGTAGCCCACATCGGCAGCATACGATGAAGGCGGCAAGGGCGAGCCGGCCATGTGAGGGTCCGGCTGCATCGTCTCCGGGTGGTTGATAGCATTGCCAGCGGCATTCATGGGAGTGCCATCTGGAAGGTACCCCACCGAGTTCACGAATTTGGCACGGGGAAGCGGAGATCCAGCGACGTGCTTGTCCGCGCCGATCGTCTCCGGGTGGTTGACGGCGTTGCCCGCTTTGTTAAGCGGGGTGCCATCCGGCAGGTAGCCCACGTCGTTGGTGAACTCCAGGTCCGCATAGGCATCCTTCTGAAAGGCATAGCTCGCATCCTTCATGGCCATCTTGGACCTCAGCTTACATGTCATCCACAGGCCCTTTTAGTGCAGGGTGTACGGCGCTTGAACTAGGTCCGTTTACACCGGCTTGCTTCTCTGGCAGGCACTGTGAACCTCCGACCGCAGTAGGGACCTACCATGCATGGAACTATATCGGCCCAACACTTCGAAGCGGCAAGACCTTCATCGGCTTGCAAGGAAAACGAATGCAAACAACAAGGAAAGTTCGCTACAGTGCATTCTGGAGTTATATATGTGTGTACATATATATATATATATATAATATCTGCAGTATGTAGTATAGCATATCGTATCATTGAACTCGGGAACATAGCCACTATGCTTGCAGTCGTTCTGGTGTCATTACGAATCCAAGCCCTGCATTGAGTATCAGCCGCGCACGTCTACAGACTCCTTGAAGTCGTGAACAGCTAAACCCAGCTTCATGGGCCTTTAAGTACTTGGGCAACAAGGCCTGCGGGGCTTGTGAGTTCTGGAGCAACAAGAAGAGAAATGCTTGAACGATAGACATCCGATACCCAAAGCTCCCAACCTTGAGAGGCTGATCCCGGAACCCCAGCTTTGCCTAGGGCCTAGGATTATATAATAGTTATAGCGTTTAGGGCTTAGGGGTTTTAAGTTTAGGATTGTAGACCACGAATGCCTGTTTAGAGCAGCTACAACTTAACCCTCAACCCTGAACTTACTCTTTCAGCTCAAAAAAGCTGCCAGCAAGCACGCCCTACAAAGCCCAGGAAGCCGTGACAGCCCGAAACTCACGATCTGACTCTCCGCGATTCCTGGTACCCTCAGAAGGTGAACCTTATGAACCAGGACCCTCCTTCTACCCTCAGATAGGGGTATATGGTCCCAAATAAGGGGCATTTAGGGTCTAATAGAGGGTAGATGGAGGGTCTATGAATGTTCTTCCAAGGGTCCAAGTACCTAATAATCATATACTCTCCAAAATCCCAACCTACATAACTACGATCGTAAGGCCGAGTACCTGACTACTGGGTCCTTTGGTGGATCCTTGGGGTTCCTGGTATTAGGGTTCCGGGGCTCAAAGTTTAGCATTACATAAACCCAGAAAGGAGGCTCATACTCGACCACTACTTGAAGGCTCATGGGACTTAGTAAGTAAGGTTATAAGTAGGTTATAATTAGGGTAACCCCACTTAGGGAACTTATAACCCCAATTATAACCTACTTACTAAGTCCCATGATCCTCTAAGTAGTCGATTGCGCTGTCAAGGGGCTTCTTTCCTCTTCGAACAGAGCCCTGCACTGCACATCATGGACTCGAAGAGTGGAGGGTTCTGTTGGGTGAGGGGTGGTGAGGGATTACGCGCTTGGGGTTTACGGTTTAGAAATTCGGGGTGTGAGACATGGGAGTTTGGGACAGTGAGGGTCCAGGACTCCGGGAGTAGGAGGAGCAGCAGCAGGGGTTGGGCGGTGGAAATCAAAATAGAGATCAATGCTGGGGTCGTCGTAGCAGAAGTGGAAACCAGCAGCAGTACTCGTCATGCAAACAAGCTGTGTCAGCGAGGATGGCCAACCCAGGGAAAATGCCAAGAAGATCCAATACGTATAAGTAGAGCCGAAAGACATCAGAACAGCGACAGAACAAGTACAGCAGCAGCTCAGATACCACAGTTGGATGTGAAGTTTGGGTCCTTATAGCCCGAGAGCAAGCGGCTCCAGACTGGGATGTTTGGGCATGCTGCGCATGGACTTTCTGCTTCATTTCTCAACGATGAAACTCTGAACTCCTGTGCAACAAATCGAAAGAATGGACTCCGGAATCCTGAGCTCGAGCTTCTGATAGTCGTACTTTGTCATGAGAATCCCGGGCTCACACACAACAGCATAAAGCCTAAACCCCAAACAAGAACCCAGCGCGCCAGCACGGGGACCATGAGGCCAGCGCAAGCAACAGGAAGGGAGCTTTGCGAGATCTGCCCAGGTAGATGACAAGGGGCGACAGGCTACAGGGAATCCGGCTCTTGATAACCCAACATATGGGCTTAGAGACTAGGCATTCCGCTAGACCTGAAGCATGCAATAAGCCCCAAATTCAATTCCAAAACTTCGGAAACAGTTGCGCACAGTCGGTGGAGGACCTTTGGGGAACTTCTAGGAGAGCAAATTTCAAATGTCAAAGCTCATGGCAATGGCCTTCTGCAGCTTTTGACACTCTCTACTTGGGCTTGCCAACATGCCTAGACTTTAAGCAAGCCCTAAACCGTACTTCCCGATAACCAGGAACCCTTACCCTTGCAACACACGCCATGATTGGGTGCACTTCTTGCTTTGCTTCAAGGCTTTGAGGCTCTTTGCACGGGATGACGCAGCCAACATCTATGCAGATGGATTCGCATGCATATCTAAGCATGCGTGTGTATGTACATGTGTGGATGTATGCATGCATGTACGTACCTGTGTATGTATATGTATGTATGCATGCATGTACGTGTACGTATGTACGCATGTGTATGCACGTATGTATGTCTGTCTGCGCCTATGTATACGTACCCATGTATGTACATATATACGTGTCTGCATGCATGTATGTGTTGACTTCTTTGTTCCTAAAACTTGCAAATCCATACTATCCTGTTCGCAAAACTACAAAGAAGGTATATGTGCAGACAGAGGATCAATCTGAAATAAAAGACGGCACTGTTCCGTCATAAAACAGGACAGACTCCATTCCTTGACTGACCTTGAAGAGCTCAGTGGGTAGTTGTCAAAGCTAAGGTCCCCTTTTGGGTGCCCTATCAATGATAGGTGCCGTATTAGAATAGGGACCCAAAAAGGGACCATAACTTCAACAACCACCCGAGTAGTGAGAATTCATGCTATGACGTAGGGCAGCCTGGGCTTGTAAGGGCGACCCTGCCCCCCAACACCCCAGGCCCGAAGGATGCCAGCGGGTGGTAGGAAATTCGACCGTTCCATGTCAGGCGGCTGACCACTATGACGGTGAGGATGATGATGATGCTGATGATCATGCTGGTGATGGTTGTGATGAAACTTGTGATGACGACGATCGTGATTATTAAAAAGATGACGATGGTGCTCGTGATGGTGATGATGCTGATGCTGAAGATGATGATGATGATGATGATGATGATGATGATGATGTTCGTCGATGCAACTATTGATGGAAGCTGTGTGAAGTCCTCACAAAACTGATATAAGCAGGCCTTTCCGAATTGAACAGGGCATTGGAGTTCATTGTACTATGAGAACATTGAAGAATCCTAAGTAGTGTTCTTACTAATTTCGGCTTCTACATTGGGAGTTATGGATCTTCAGCCGCGAGCCTTGGATCCATGGTGGATAGACCACAACACAGTGCTTCTTCTGTCTCATGCTTATACTTGGAAAGCTCGCAACTTTACAGCAAGCCTTATACTTACGTTATTGTACATATATAGTACCGTAAGTAAAACCCTAGATGTCAAAGGACAACTCCGAAACTCAATCAATGTTGCGATGTTCAGGAGTTGGACGTTTCGGGGGAACAGTTCCAAGGACCCTAAACCCAAACCCTGCCTAATTACGCTGACCTACCAGAACCTACTCTTTCAAGGTAGGTGCAGTCTATAGTAGGCTTTAAACTTTATACTCGGACTCTACCTACAAGTGGGTTCTAGCAGGTTGAGGCAGGTTGGTTAATCTTGCACCCGCCTTGCCCGGTGCTGTCTTGGTCTCCGCCTGTGGCCACAGGCAAGCTTCAAGAGGCCCATTGGAGGTTCAGGAGACTCCCTGGAGTCCAAGCCCAACTCACCAGACAGTACGTCTTGTTCGCGCGGGGGCCGTACAAACAGTACAGCAGGGCGCATAACAACAACCCACTGTGTAGGTAGGTAGGAGTAGATTCCCGCAGTGATACTGGAAAGCTTCAGCCCGAAAGTGGTGTTTAGGATTCAGGTGAAGACGCACGTGCATCCTGAATCCAAAGTCTGACCTGTAATCGTGAAAGAAGCGGTATGCAAAGCTGAGTTGGCACCACTACTACGACGACTAAGATCTACGTATAAGCTGCTGGCACCATAACTTGGCATGGATGAAATAGGTAACAACATGGCGCCCCTCCTACCACCATACCAAAGAACTATCTCGTATATCACAAGGTAATCCAACAAACTCGAATAACAAGACAGCATGTAACGACAGCTTCCTAAGAACTATCTCTGTCTTGAACAAGACAGCATGTAACGACAGCTTCCTAAGAACTATCTCAGTCTACGCCGTAAACACTACACCCTCCCTTCATGTCCCAAGACTGGCAGGCAAACCCCCCGGAGATGAAGCCTCGGTCTACCTCGCCATGGGTTCTACAGCGGCCTAAATGATTAGCGTAGGGTTTTGGGGCCCATTATACTATAATCCGCCGAAGCCAGAAGGCGTCTTGATGGTTACCTCAGGTACCCTCCACCTAATCCTCCTCCCTGCAGTCCAAATGTTTGGAGACACCCGCTTTTTGCGTTCGTTTGCCACTCCCTTGTCCGGCTTTCCTTCATTTTACCTGATTTGTTGGCTCTCCCCCCCCCCCTCCCAGGCCTCCCCCCCCCGCGTCCCCCCCTCCTCCCTCCCCCCCTTCCTCCCCCCTCCCCCCCCCTCAACAAAGAACCCCCACAAGATAGTACAGGCGACTACTAAGGTTTTGTATTACCCCTTCAATTATTGAACAAAGGGGGCGGCGGGGCTCAGCCTCCACCATCGGCTCACTCCGAGAGCATCGGACCCTGGATTTTGCGAACCGGAAGCTCCTCCTCCCTGCTCCGGCTGAATGTAGGAACCTGATTAAGAAACCTTGGGGGCCTTTTTGAGAGTTCGTTCTATGAATCCTACTATTCTGGGGTTATAGGCCCAGGGTTTCTTAATCAGATTCCTACAGACTCCAAAGTACCGCAAAACCGAGAGTTTCGGACGCAAGAAAACCCATGATATCTCGCCTCATTATTATTATCATTGCTGTTGTTATTAGTATTCTTGCTAACACTATTCTTGTTGCTACTACTATTACTATTACTATTATTATTACTACTACTATTACTATTACTAGTACTGTTACTATTACTATACTGTTACTATTGCTATTACTATCATCAGTATGCCCCGACTCCAAAGTCCCAAGCAGACTCCCACGAGACACTGAAACGATACTGGCCTGCGCAGGAACGCTCGGGCGGATGGCAGTGGCCGGGGCGATGGCGAACGCCATAGAGCTTCCGGCGCCGTTCAACGCCATGATTCCAATCCTCATGATAGGAGTGGTGTTTAAAATGAACCGGTCAGACGCGCCTATGAAATTCACATATATGTCCATACACAGAAACTCATAGATGCAGGCATACCGACATGCATACCTACATAATATTACATACCTACATACATACGTACATACATGCACACATACATGTATACATGCGCATTTACGTGCATGCATACTTTCTCTGATACATGCAAAGATACATACATACATACAGACATACATTCATACATACACACATACATTTACGTACCTGCATGCATACATGCACCAATACCCTCCCATCTTGCATAAATACATACATACATACATACATAAAATAAGTACATACATACATGCATAAGTACTTGCACACATGCAGAGCTTGCTGTACGGTGACGGCCGCTGCTGTTGCAGTTGTTGGCTGGGCTTTGTTGCTGTTTGTCGTCGTGTTGTTGTGGTTGCTGTTGCTGATCTCGTTGTTCTTCTCGTTGTCGTGATCGTGGTCCTGGTCGTTGTGGTTGTAGCGGTCGTCGTTGTTGTTGTCGTTGTGGTTGCAGTTGGTGTTGCTGTTGTTGTTGTTGGTGGTGGTGGTAGTGGTCGTGTTGTTGCTGCTGCGGCTGCTGCTGCTGCTGCTGCTGCTGCTGCTGGTGCTCTGGTGCTCTGGTGCTCTGGTGCTCTGGTGCTCTGGTGCTGGTGTTGGTGCTGGCGGCGGTGGCGGTGGTGGTGGCGGTGGTGGTGGTGGTGGTGGCGGTGGTGGTGGCGGTGTCGTTTGTTGCTGCTGCCGGGGCTGTTGCTGCATTCAAGGGTTGCATGTCGGTCTTCGCCATCGTAAGCATCGCTTCATGTCAATGGCTCCTGAGGCAAAATACCTGGCACCGTCGGACGGTCTGTTCCTTCATGATGGGCTGCGACACATTGCTGTCCCTCAGCACCGCGGCCACATTTACGCCCTTGCCGTTTTATGGGATCTTTGGACCCTACACACCACCTAAACCCCCAAAAGTAGGTAAAACAATAGCCCAACACCTATAAAAGGCTGTTATTCTACATACTTTTGGGGTCCAGGTAAACCCTAAACCCTATGTTGTAACACAAAGCCGTTGCCAAGTGAGGGTTACCTGGACCCTGAAGCTGCCTCCCAGGGTTTCTCTGGCAGGTTTTATGTGGGGGCGCCTCCTGAACACGGTTAAGGGTTTCGGGTTTAGGTTTCGGTCCATACCAATCCCTATCCCTAAATCCTAGACCATGCGCGCAAACCAGGTTTGAAGGCTTACAAAGAGATCAGCTCAGTGGTCATTCAGAACAGCCCTACACCTTAATCCCCACGTGAACACCGTAAACACATATGCCCTGATTAAGACATCCTGGTCCCTTCTTATATTCTATGACAGAGTTTAGCACAGATTCTAACAGTAAGACCGGCTAGTCAATCAGGGATCTACATGGAACCTACTTTGAACCCACATGACACCCTTCAAAACCACATGGAAGACTAGAGTAAACGCCCCTGTGGGCTCCTGTAGAACAGTAAAATGCGAATACTTTCCAATCACTCAGCCGCCCCAATAAGACAAGCCTGCAAAACCCTTCCTCTTGTCTCCGAGTTGCAGGGGGCAGATCTTCGCAGTATCACTTCGAGGGCCGCAGGTTCGC